TATGCAGCAAGTTTTGGGCCATCATTTAAGCCCAGAATTAAAAAGGCTCTATCCCCCTTTCAGGTTAGCCCAAACTAATAAGACTCGGGTCTTTTTTTTTTTTAGAATGCTAGACTTTGGGCTCTAAATCAGGCCTGATATTAACTAGGCTTTAAGGCTGGCCCAAACAAATACAGGATGCTAAAAAGTCATTTCCGTGTCATAATTGCCGTCCGATGTGCATCGTGCGGATCTGATCGAGAAATATAAGGACTCTAATTGACAAAACAAAAAACTTAAGAGTTTAACTGGAAGAAACACACTAGTTTGAGAATTCCTTAATATTATTTTAGAAATAAAATAATAGTAAGGGTGGAACTAATCTCCCACCAAAGCTTCTCCTTCTTCACTAAGAATTTGCAGAATTCACTAAAAATGCACAGCTACCCTTGCAAAGGCCCCAAACCAGAAGAAGCAGAAGCTTCTGTAGCCAAAGCTAATAAGCTTCAATCACTTCAATTTCAATTCCTCTTCAATCCCATAGCAAGATGTATTCTTTCTGCGGCCAAATGTTAGAGCTCAGCTACAACAAGCTAAGATCAATTGAAGGTACGCTCTAGGCTTTTGATGTTTAAAATCTTGTATCTAATTGCATTGAGAAGTTTCATGTCCATAAATTGTGTCTACATTTATTTCACACTTTTTTTTTTCTCACTATGGCCCTCAATATGTTGCCTTAACTCCTCCCCCATATCCTCTGTAAAATTACACAATCTATAATGTTAACCTAGGGATAAACTTTGCATCCTGGTTTTAGACCCAATTTCCCTTTAGCATCTAATTGTTTGGAAAGTAAAATACTATCTTGTTAAGTTATATTACATTCCACATTCCCCCTTTTTTTCCTATTCAATCAAATAAATTATTTTTCACTAAGAAAATAAAGGATGTCTTAATGATGACAGGATTGGAGGCTCTGCAACTCCTTTATTGCTTAAATTTGAGTAGCAACAAAGTTGGTAGTTTCATTGCTCTGGAACCTCTGAGAAAGCTCAAGTTGTTAAAAGTATTGGATGTCTCATACAATCAGATTGGTGAAGACTCTATTGATGCAACTAGGTATTTATTCTCTTCTCCTTTGTCACATTCAGCTGGAAGTGAATGGAATAAAGATGAAATTCTATACCAATGGAACTGTTGCAACTAATTACTAGGAAGCATTTTAATTTTCAAGGGATTGAACTTGAAACAATTAGATATTGTAGCAAATACAATTGTTGATAAAATCTTCAGGTCATTCTTGGTAAAGATTCTTCCTACACTACAATGGCTAAATGGTGAAAGACTAAATTAGTTTTCATTTTCCTTTCTCATATCCCTATGCTTTTATTATACTATGATAATTTATTAAAAAACTTGTTACTGTTTTAAAATGTATTGCTAATAGAAATGCAACACGGTTTGATTAATCATTTGGGTTGTGAATTCTGATGTGCATTATATGTGTGTGAATAGCATCATAGATAGGCTAGAACATTTTGGAGAACAAACTCCCTTTATCTCATTTTCCTTGAATCTGGGCCTTCTTACGCTTTTTTAATAAGAATGGAGGTGCATAGCAGAGCCAATATGCCCATTTGAAGTTTGAACATGAGCACAGCTATAGAAGAAATAGGAAAGGAGGAAGGAAAACTGAAAGAAAGTCGTATTGAAATATTATTGAATGATGTGAAATTGAATACATAACTAGTCTTTATATAAGTATTAGATAATCTATTAATTAAGAAACCCTATATCTACCATAATAATCATTTTAATCTTAACTATATATAAAATTATTGTAACAATAGAATTCCCTTTAAAATTCTCAATAAATACCCATTGGACTTTTAAAAAATCATCAATAAATACCCATTCCTTGCCCCAATAGAGCCACAGCAATGCTCGACATGTTCTTCGGAGGTTAGTGTATAAGAACTCAATTTGTTCGATTGTAGTAAATGCTAAAGCTAGGCCAATCAAGTAGTATTGTGGCAAAAACCACATTGCTAACATACTCATGGAATTACCTTCTTGGTAGCTTTCTCTTGTCTAATACTCTCCACAACTGTTGAGACTTGAGACTACCATTACCATCCAGGAAAGCATAGTCCAATTCCCATTCTTGGTTTAATACCAAGCTGCGCTAGTTCACCCTTGATCTTTGAGGCCAAGGGGAGAATTACAATGCCATTCAAAATCATCTGTGTTATCATTATGACAATGCTAAAAGTACCAAATACAACTACTGGAATTTCAAAATTTTGGGAAACCTGTCGATCGATGGAGCTAGCTTAGAGCAACATGAACTTGCCTTGGCTTGCATTTATCCATAGCATTATCCTTGCACTCTGTCATAACTCAAATTTTTATCAAAAAAAAAAAAATCAGAATTATAAAAATATGAAAATTTTCCTTTTCTTTGACTAATATATCTTTATTTTGTTTCAGATGCTACATGCAAAAAGAAATTGGAAAATTCAAGAAGAAGAAAGAAGGGACTCAATTGAAAAAATTAAAAGTTGGAGGGGTGAAGTTCATCAAAATGAATTTTACAAACCCAAACCCAAAA